GGCGCTCTTTGTGGCAGCGAGAGCGAGGAGGGGTTGCATACTAACACTCCTACGGCTATTGGCTGAGTCGAGGGTGACATAGGTTTCCCCACAACTTTCACTATTGTGGGACTAGCTTCTTTTGAGGAGGAGGCGCTTGCTGATAACATCGTTATGTCCCTCGAAGAGTGACTAGAGGCTGGGATGGTGCTGGACCCAAAGTTTAGGGAGATCGCAGCCCTCAGAGAAATGGTGGTTTGTTGAGAGGCAGAACATCACTAGAACATTTATAACTTTTATCGAGGAGAAGTCGAGCAGCTCAAGGACCTCCTATCCTCTGTAAGGAGGAAGCTAGCTAGGGTTAGTAAGGCAATTCGTCTTGGGGACTAATGTCCCAACGTGCAAGCATGTGGAGCTTCTCCTTCCTCTTCTTGCTTTTTCTCCTCTTTTTTTTTTCAATTTATGTAAGGGCTTTGTTGCTAATGAAGCTTCTTTGGGCTTGAATTCATGGCTTGCACTGCATAATTTTGCATCATGCATCATAATCCCTCATCTTCCGAATATGCATATTGTTTCATATGCCCCCAATTTACCCTTCCTACTTTCTTTCCTATTTCATGCAAGATAATCTTGATTTCAAAAAATTGAAAGTTTTAACCCCTTCCTTTCAAACAATGCTAAGGGCAACTAGGAAATACGATAACAAGACGAAAACGGATTTTCGTATTCTACAAGAAGTATTTTGATAAAATATCCATAAGCCATCATTATCCCGCCATTAGGATTCTTCAATTTCCGAGATGAGGAGGCCAAGTGTCATATCACTCTTTAAAAACACCATCCCTTCATAACATTTCATCTCCATCCTCTTCTTTGGAAATCTTCTAAGCAATCGCTTCTTAGCATCTTTCCTCTTTCTTTTCTAGCAGATCATTCTCTGTTAGAAAAAGCTTCTGTAACTTCTTTAAAGAGAAGGACCTTCCTCGAGGCGAACCTTACACATTTTCTTCAAGAAGGGCTTTCTTCGTCCTCTTCGACTCTCAGACAGTTCTGAGGCTTGTTATTTGATTTTATGAGAAGTTTTATGGCTTCAACCCTTCGATCTTCAAATCACGCAGGGTAAGTCTTTCTTCTTTTTCATCCATGTTTCTTTACCTTGTCCTACTTGCAATCTTTTTTTCCCTAAGCATATTCTTATACCGTAAGGAGGATCATGATCGAGTTCCCCTTCTTGTTTGGGTTTGATGCTTCTAAATGTATGATTCGACCTTCAATCTTCTGGTCTCAGGGTATTATCCCTTGATGTTCAATGCCTCAGAAAGATTTCTCCATACTCTACTCAACTACTTTCGGTGTTCTTTTAGAGTCTACCTGAACCTTACTAAGATGTTGACTTGGGAGTCAAAGACTTCCAATGAGTCCCTTTGATAGACTCTGGAACTGGGGCCAACTGTTTTCAACACATCAGGCTTTAGATCTATACTTGTGATATTCTTGGTCACCTTTGCTCGTTGGTTTGATGGAAACATCGGTTGCCTTCTGAGTTCAAGGGTTCAGACCTCATCCTGAACCATGAAGGCATCAGGTGTAGGTTTGAAAACCTTGAGCCCTGATTAGGATGAGTGGGACTAAAGGGTCAAATCTTGATCGGAGCCACAAAGGGCCTCGTCTATAAGTTTAAAAACACATATGGAGTCATATCCTTAATCTTTCAGTCATATGACCACTCTTTTCTTTTCTTTGCTGCAGGCCTCATGCGTTCCATTCCTTTCTCGAAGGAGGATGAAAACTCGAAGAAAAAGTGCATTGACATCTCAGTATCACGAAACTCTCCCATGTGCCAGTTTGATGGAAAGTTTCCAATACATTTCTCCTAGCCTGGAGACATCAACTTCTCGATGAACCAGGTTGAATGCAGGGAATTTACACCCAACTCCTACTGTGCCCTCCTTCGACGAGATCTCCTTCTTCATTTTTCTCATGCGAATACTGTCAAGCCCGAGACCTTTCCAATCCTAGAGCCTAAAATCTATGACTATAAGGCTTATTAGTCGGAAGCAGGTTTCATATGTGATGGTGAGTGCTGGTTCATCTTAGGCTATTACTCTTGGACTCGGGATGTATGCAAGAAATTTCATGCTCTTCTTGAAAGTGCAGGACTTCTTGGTGCCTTTGCGTGCTCAACCTTTCTATACGACCGCTGTTCAAATAGTGTGCGAGCCTTCTTGAAGACTTGGTGTGCTGAAGCAAACACCAACTTCTTCAGCTATAAAGAGAGCAACATGTGTCTCTTAAAGTTTCACTTCATTGGTGGCCTCTCCCTTCTGGGAGGGCACTATGAGGAATTCACTCCAGAGAATGAGATCATCTTCAGAGATGTTTCTTATCTTAAGCTTCGAAGGCCCAGCTATCTGAGAAGCTTATTCAAAGAATACATGAAATTGGCTGCTGCGAGCAGGAGTAAAGTGATCCCTTTTCAAATCTAGATCAACGACTACTGCGAGATGGAGAAGGCTAAAAGGGGAACCAAAGAATCCCCTCTACAATGGTTTTGAAACTCCTCCCCCTCTGACTGTGATGATACCTTGTCATCCTGATGTCTGGGACCAACCAACCTATTTGGTGTCCTCTTATGCCACTTCACACTTACGGACTTTAGAGGCCATGTGGTCAGACCGGAGTGCTTATATGTTGCTTGAAATATGGCCGACGACCATTGATATGCCTTAGGTTAGCCCGTGTTGTGTTGCATCTACAGTGGGTTAACCTCTGCAACGGAGAAGGTTCTGGGAGATGCTCGAACTCCTTTCCCCATCCATTACGTTTATGGGTGGCTTGGTGCCTACTTTTCAAGCGCTTATAAGTATTCTTTAACCTCTAACATCGACACATTCCCTTTCTTACTCTGCCTGATGGGCTGCAGGGCAATCTCCCATTCATCTGTCCAAGCAAGGCGACTATTCTGGGAGGATAATTTCTTTCTATTCAACCCTTTTCCTGTCTGGGGTACCTGAGAAGGACTCTTCGCAGATGAGTATGCTCTTGGGATTAATCCGAGGACCCCAAGTACTGATTGGGAGGTTATGTCCCTCATGAACATCCGAGGGTGTTTACATCCTTTGAGGATGGGCATAGGTTGATTAAGCCCTACTACCCTCATCGCTTCTCAAGACAACATCAGATGGACCAAGGTTGTCTTGTTCTCTATGACTTCACTAGGCATGGGTCCTGGTCAAATCTGCATGTGAAGTCGGTGTGGGACTCCTGCACATTGCAGGGTCAATCTTGTTGGTTAATCATTCCCGGCAACTGTTGAAAGTCTTCATGACTCACAACTATTGTGCTTGGTATCAAGAGCACCAACGAGGGTTCTTCCAGGGTCCTATTGACGACATGCATAACTTTCAAGACAATGAGAGTCATGGAACTCCTCTGACTCACTTAAAAACAAAGTTCGAGAGTGTTTCGTCATGTTGGGCACCCAAGTTGCGCTTCATCGAAGACTGGAATGTGATAAGCATTGACTAGTCCCAGGCTGAGGTTGTTCCACAAGGGGTATTTGAGGTACGTCAAAGTCCTGGGGGCACTCTCATTAGCCACGAGACTATGAGCAGATAAGAGGATCTGGCGGACCTCGCCAGGCCTCGGTTTTAATAGTCAAACCCAAGAGCGATAAGTCGTAGAAGGGTTCAGGTGCTCTAACAAGTGAACCTTCATCTGAGCACAAGGTAGAGAGAAAGGAAGAGGGGTCGAGGCCTCCTTCTGTTCAAGGAAGCTTGGTGGCAAGGAAAATGGGCAAGGGACATTCTCCCTCCCCTGTCGGCCTAAAAGAAATCAGTGGGGCTCATGATTCGAGCAAAAAATAAAGAGATCAAGCATCGAGCATGGCTCATGATATTGCCCCTTTAGCCAAGAAGGCCTTTATTTAAGACATAATCCTGTGGAAGGCTCTGGAGTCTGCTGACCCAGACTCTTAAGGTAAGAGGATGCCAGATGACTCTTCTCCTTTGAAGAGGTCCTCCAAGAAGGCAAAGAGTTTAGACACCTGAGAATAATCCAGGGAAACATATGCTACTCCTCCACTATCGATTGCTTTGGCCTTGGCCATTCCTAGCAGAATCACACAGAGCTCTGTGGCTAAGGCGGCTCCTTCTAAGCCAAGGCTTCGTTAGATGGCGACCGCTAGAAAACACGCAATGCCAGAGGTTATTGATATAGACCCCTTCTCCTCCCCAGAATCTCTAACTTTAAACTCAAAGGTGCATAGAGAAAGTTTTCCAATTACTGGTGAGAGATCGGAGGCTAAGAAAATGTAGACTTCAATGGATCCAAAAGAGGGGCTTATTAATGCCTTGATGGGACTTGGCCTTTCCCCAGGGTCAAGTGAAGACTCTTCTTCTAATCATGGCAAGACAGAAAGTTCCACTTCGAAGGCTGAACCTGCGGTGGATGAACTGAGGAAGCACAAAGGGAAAATTTTGCACCGAGGGGAAGGATCCTCCAGCAGTTAAATCATCCATTGTAGTTGCTGTGTTGAAAGTGGGCTCATCAACTACGTCATTAACTCACCGAAGCTGACGTAAATGCAGGACTTGCCATGGTCCATGGTATTTTGGATAGAGGCGAGTACTCTTATGGTGATCCTCCTGAGTCCTGACTTCCAGCTCCATCAGTCAAGTTTTACAGGACCAAACTTTGAGGTATTTGAAAACCCCTCCTTTATTCTTTGAGAGGGACCTAATCAGTCAAGTTTCTATTCCTTACATTTTCATTGTGATTTCAGGTTCTGTCTTTACTCAGACTGTGGCAAGCTTTGAAGTTGTGAGCTCTGCAACTCACCATTTGGGTACTGGATCTGGAGGAGCCGAGATCAAGGTTCTCAAGGTATCGAGTGCTACCAAAGTCCTTGAGGTGCCGGAGCATGATCCCCTAGAGGACTTGGTTGCACTTGCTGAGGATCCCGAGAGCCTAATAGGGTCAATGCTCAAAATCCTTCTTCCATCGGTAAATTTCACAGGGAGATGAGTGCCGGTGTAGTGAGGACACAGTTCAGAACGATTGAGAACAACTCTCTATCTAATCTTCAAGAGATTTCTTCGACAATCTCTCATATGATATCATGGGTCGGGTTAATGGGAGCTGATGAAGAGAAGCTCCAACAACCAATTGACTGGGTTACTCAAAACTCTCAAGTTATAACCTTTGATCAAGAGAAGCTTGCTCATACATTCCCTGTTTTGATAAGAGAAGGGGAAGAAGCCTACGCTTGGCACGAAGAAGTAGCTATAAAGACAAGGTAGGGCTTGGAGGTCATTTAGAGCTTGGTGGAGAGTCTCCGTGACCAATATGATCGAGTGGAGGCTCGCAAGACCATAGTCCTGGACTACATTGATAACATCGAGACCCTTCTATTGGCACAAAAGATAGAACTCAAGAGGGTCGGCCTATTCATGCCATCTTGCCGAAAGAGTGGACATCTCCTACCCCGAGGTTATCGACCAGCTTCGTTGATCGGATGAAGTAATTTTTGCAGCCTCCATTGCTGAAGAGGATCTTGCACAGATGAGGGCAGACATGGAGGCAACCAAGCAGCATGTGAAAGAGAAGACTCGAAGGCTGGAGAAACTTCTACATTGCTTCAAGAGCTTTTGAGTTGTCTTCAATTCTTCTTTTTTTTTTTTGAACTCTGTGATTGTTTGTAAAGGAACTGTGCTATTCTTCTCAAGATGTTTTTTTTTTTTTCTCTTTAGCTTTTTAAATTCAGCAAATACATTTGATGCTTCTAAGTCTTCAAAGGAATTTCTGTAGCATCTCACTAATTAGCACACATTCCTGCATACTTCAAAGATATGCTTCGATTAGGCACCTCCCAATCTTCATGCCTCCCTTTTTGTGGAGGGGTACGAGTGGTCCGATACTTCGTGGTTTTGAAAACCTCTAGAGAAAATAAAAAAGCACCATAGTTTAATGTCTTTCGGGAAGACCATATGAAAAGCCTTCCTTACCTTTTTATAAAAAAGGCATGGGTGGCCAATACTTCGAATCTTAAGACTCCAAGGCGTACTGTAGTTTTTAGTCATACAGGAAGGACAATCTGACGATGTTTTAGGTTATACGTTGTGGACTTATGGATGAGCCTTTTAGGGTCGTGCATCTCGGACCTTAACTGGACTCGATTTTATAGTCATGAGTGAGGACTACGCGGCAGATGTTATATAACATCAAGGCATAGTCTTTGAAAAGAGAATGTGCTAGATAGTTTAGAGTCTTGCAGCTTGCTCTATATGATAGGTAGTTTAAAGTCATACATCACGGACTATATGATAGGTAGTTTAAAGTCATACATCACAGACTATCCTTTGATCTTTCAAGGATAATATTTCTTCTAATACCTTCTGTTAATTGGAGGGATGACATCTTGTCCTGTCTCGGTACAAAGGAGGTATGCTTTGGCTAAGTATGCTTAATGACAATGGTCCATCCCATTTGGGCTAGAACTTAGGCTGAGGTGCGCCAATAAGACGTCTCATAGATAAAACCAAATCACCTGGTTTGAAAGACCGTATCCTTATAGACACCCCATTTTAAATTTGGCAAATTCTATGGTTTCCTGACCTTAGGACCACATTATTCTAGTAAATCCAAAATTCATAGTTCACACAGCCTACCCTGTGATCCAGACCCAATCTACCTTCCCGGACCCTGCAAAAACCTTGTTTTGACCTAGAATCTTGCAGACGCCCTGTTTTATCAAAACGATCAATAAAAATAGTAAAAAATATGTTTTGACCCAAATTTTCTTTGAAAGGTTCACAAGAGACTGAGGAACATACCCAAAGTAAAAAATTTCAATTTAGACATTGTTTGGTTTGGGCCCAGCCCAGACTGGGCGACACTAGGCTTGTTGCCTAGACTTGGGTGACAACACTGTGTCGCCCAATTATTTTTGTCCTAAATTGAAAAATTTCACTAAGTTTTGGATTCCTTGTCCTTTTGGGTGATTTTTTCCAAATTGTTTTAGGCGACACTACCAGTGTCGCCCAGATCCATACCCCCAAAGTTGAATTTTTTTGGATGGGGATTGTTGGTTATGGAAGTATATCCTTTCAAACAGATCCTTGGCCCCATTAAGTCTCTTTTTCGTGGCCATTCAAAGGGATATCTTGATTAAAAAAAACCCTAGACAAACTTCTGCTAAGAAAACCCTAACCTTTAGCCTGAAAAACATAGACAAAAGGCACAACAACCTTAGATCTAAACTATCTTAGGGCACAACCACCCTTTGAAACCAGAGATCTACTGGTCGACATCTGATCAGAGAGGCAAAGAGGACGCTGGTGCTGATACGGGTGAGCCCTCGAAGGCTCGGGAGTCCCAAGCCATTTGGCCCGGTTTGGTATCGTTCTTTAACTCTTTCTTTCTTTTTCTCATTGCTGTTTGATTTTGTTATGTTTTGATGCTTTGGATCATGTTGGCTCTACCATAGATTTGAGAGCAATTCTGCTCATTTTTGGGTAGATCTGGCCTCATATTTGAATTCGATTTGTCCCACTTCTCTACCACTGTATTTTCATAAGTTTAAGGTGTCAATATTATGAGATATCCTAATTGGAAGATCTGTCAAAGTTTCATTGTAAACAATTTGGCGCCCACCGTGTGGCGTTCCGAGCTTGATCCAAGAGCCAAAATACATTTTTTATTCACTGTTTTTTACTGATTTTAGTCACAGAAAGTACCAAACATCAGCTATGATCAGGACCTTGGGTTTCAGTGCTGCGAAACCCTGTTTGTTCTGGACAACACCAGCAATGTCGCCTGGGCGACACCACTAGTGCCGCCCAGATCCAACACGACACAAATTTAAAAGTTTCAAAATCTTCTGAAACTTTGCGGATATGCTCTAGGGTCTCTCTTGTAACTTCTCAAAACATTTCATATCAAAATAAAATTTTAGAAAATACCAAAAAAATATTTTACTTGATACAGACATGTTATATCTGCATTGTCCTGCTTTACTTTGTTTTAATTTATTTCATCATAAATTTATTTTTTCTACTTATTCCAAGTTTATTTTAGCCTTATTTCATCAAGTTTAACAAAATGAAAATAAACAAAACTAAATTTTTTTTTGGGCGACACTAGCAATGTCGCCCATCCTGCAAGGGAAACACCAGTAGTGCTGCCCGGGCGACACCATCCGTGTCGCCCAACTGTAGTGGTCCGACAAACATTCTGGGACCCCACATGCCTATTCCAGGGACTTTGGCTCCATGTTGACCAATTTTTTACCTAAAATAAATTTTTTAAAAATATAAAAAAAATATTTTGCTTTAAATAGTTTTGTTATGTTTTTGGCTTTTCGATTTGATTTTAGTTTATTAATTTTGACTAAAATCGTATTTTCCCTAATTTCACCATGCTTGGTTTAACTGTGTTTCATCAAAGATAAAAAGATAAAAAACTAAGAAAATAAAAAAAAATACATTGAGGGTTGCTTGCACCCTCCTTGAACCGCGTCCCGTTCGAGTCACCCTCGACTCGGGTCGTGCTCGACTTAACACGGACTGTGCTCAGTCTCACTGTTTTGACTGTACTTTCTTAGGGGTTGCCTACCCCTCCATCTATATTATGCTTCGAGCGAGCTTCTCCTCAAAGCGCGCATCTCTAGGCATGACTGGTGCCAAGTGCTCTCTTTATTTCTTCATTGGATTGTGTGCTTGACAATTTATTTTGACTGCGTGCTTCTTTTCACACTCCATCACACACCGGACCGGTAATGCCTAGGAAGCCAGCAAGCAAATATTTTGAAAACCCCCAAAATCTACATTAACGGCGTGAGGAGAACCTAGCTTTGAGAGTCAAGGCGGTTGAGATTCGCGTAACTTTAACTGTGAGTGCCCCTCCATAATCCTTTGCCTCAAAGCAACTCCGCGTATAGTAGGACCTGGTGAGCATCCCAGGACCTACGTGGGGACCTACATCCTAGTCGCATTTCAATAGTTAGGAACCCACCCTCAAGCCGAGCCTACCTATAATCTAGGTCAAATGTTTCATTTGCTGTGCTTTCTTATTTTTGTTGGCTAATCTTAGATCTCAGTCTAGACCCACTTTTGGTCCAAGATGATCCCTCTGGGTCCAAGTCCAGGCTTGTACCCAGCTTAGCCTAGGTCTAAATCAGGTTTCTCCTTGGTCCGAACTAAGGCCTCCTCTCGGTCCGAGCTGAAGGCTCGTTCCTAGTTCATATTTGATCCAGTCTAGGTCTACACCTGGTCTGATCATCAAAACTCTCTGGGTCCAAGTTCAGGCTTATACCCAGCCTAACCCAGGTTCGAACTAGGTTCACACCCAAGTCCGAACTAGGTTCACACCCAGGTCTGAACTTAGACCTACTTCTTAGTCCGAGCTTGGGGCCCGTGTCTGTCACAACCTTTTATCCAATCCGGGTCCATACTCGGTCTGATCTTCACAACCCTCTAGGTCCAAGTCTAGGCTTATACCCAAATCAGTCCAGGTCCTAACCAGGCTCTCACCCAGGTCCGAACCTAGACCCACTCTTGGTCCGAGCCGAGACTTGTACCTATCTAATCTAGATCTTAGTCTAGGTTCGAGCAAAGGCCTAAGCATAGATTTGCCTCTAGAGCTAGACTAGGCTTACCCTAGTTCAGGGTCTAAATTAAAACCCACTGAGTCTAACAAGTCTAGGTTCTAATCTAGCCTTACCCTAGGTCTTAGTTAAGGTTTTCCCCCTAGAGTTAGGCTCGGTCTGCCCTAAGTCGTTGAGTTTAGATCTTACCTAAATCTAGTTTCTAAAACCCCATCAAAAGCAATCACCATGTCAATCACTCAAGGCGACTATGATGATCGCTCCACGGCAGTCTCTAAGCTTAACCTGCCCAAAGCTAGGGACCAGTATGTCGCGATCCCTTGGGATTATCAACATAACTCAGGTCAATCCATTATCCAACACCCAGGTCTTCAATTAGAGGTAGAGCCACAAGGGTCCACTCCTAATTCTGAGATATGTGTAGTCTGAAAAGCTAGTTTAGCCCGAAAGACTCTGAATAGTCAAGGGGTCCGACCAGGCATCGTCCTACATGGCATTTTAGACAACCAAAGTAGAAGCCGAGAGAGGGAAGAAGTTCAGGCCGTACCAAAGGCCAATTCCCAAAACTCTAACCCAGATAACCTCGATGCACAACGACCTCAACACCATGACCCACCTAGGTCAAGGGGATCTAACCCAACCTCAAGCCACCATAGTACAACTCATGATCTCCTGAACACTGTACGAAGTAG